AATCTTTTCTGTAGTAATTGTAAAATATAAAAAGAAGTTATTATTAATAAAGTTAGTTACTGTGTCTTTTTTTTTTTTGCTAAATCGCCAAACCTTTTGTTAATTAATTGTATCTAGTATTTTAGTTTTATACAAATTATGCAACACAAAGGAGGCAAGCCACCACATTCTTTTAGTGAATATTTTTATATTATTCCTAACGAATGGGCAAATAAAAGTAACTGAAAATGTATTTGTCAAGCTTGTATGGATGCAGTAGGAAGAGAATTTGCTCTAAAAGATGATAATTTGAAAATTACAAATACCAAACATTATTGTGCTAACCATCTTAGAGACTGCCCTTATTTTGCTACCAAGTATTCACCTGAACAAATACAACTCATTCTCAATTCTGCTACACTTTTACCACCAAACAAACAGGTAATGATATCTTATACAGATGAAGAAGATGAAGATGAAAATAATTCAACTTCTGGAATAACATCTTCTAATTCGTTAGCTTCTAGTAATACTTTAAAAAAACAAACCACATTATCCAAATATGTTGGTCGTTTACTTACTGCTTCAGAAATTTCTAAATTTGAACGTCTTATACTTCGAGCAACTGTTTCAGCTGGATTTGCTTTTGGTGGATTGAAAATCCTGAAGTTAGAGAAATGTTCTACTTTATTTTTCCATATTTAAAACTGCCAGATCAAAAATCGCTTAGTAATCGTATATTAACAAGTGCAACTAATGAAGTACAAGTAACAATTAAGGATCTTGCTTGTAAAGATAAGATTGGTATTACGATTGCTTTTGATAGTTGGTGTAATGTTGTTAATCAGGAGCTAATGGGTGTAGTATTTATTACATTTTCGGGAGAAACCTTAATTTGGGAAGCAGAAGACATTAGTATAGAAAGACAAAGACAAGAAAAAGTAATTAATAGAATTCGTGCACTTTTTAATCAAGCAAAAGAATTAGATATAAGAGTTAATTGTCTTGTGACTAATTTAGCTAGATCTTATACAGCTGCTCATCATTTTTTAAGACGTGAAATACATGATAAAGTATTTATTCCTTGTTTTGCATATCAGGTGAATTGTTGTGTTGGAAATATATTTAAAGAGTCTACAGTATTCAAAAATACAAGCAAACGTGCTCTTCATATTGTTTCTTTTTTTTACCATTCTGTATATTTCATGGCTAAACTTCGTAATGAACAAATAAGTGTTCTAAAAAAATATATTAATTTTGTTACTCCAAGTATAACAAGATAGAACAGTCATTTCGAATATTTTAATAGTGTTCTTAAGAATAAACATCTATTAAAAGTAAGTTATTTAATTAAATTTTAAAATTTTTAATTTTAAAATTATTGTGATTTTTTTTTTTTTTTTAGACTCTTGTTACCAAAAATGATATGGCCTCAGACAATGATTTAAAGCTTCCAACTGAAATCAAAATTGCTATTAACCATGATTCTTTTTAGGATTCTCTTACAATATTACATAAATTACTTCATCCTTTTTGTGGAGCTCTTGATCTTATGCAATGTAACAAAACTTGCCTTTATAATGTTTTACATACCTTCAGTTTTTTTATGCAAATATTTAAAGAACTTAAAGAATCTCAATTTCAAACAAGAATGGTTGAAAGACTTGAAAAAAGGTGGGCTACATAGGAACAACCATTGCTTATTCTTTCTTTTATTCTTCATCTCCTATATAAATTGAATTATTTTAATCAAATACAATATATTAACTTTACTTACATAGGAGCATGGTTATCATATTATTATAAAGTTTGGTTTAATACTGAGCCAAATTGTTTGCTTCGCGAACTTGAACTTTATAAACAGCAAAAGTATCCTTTTACTAAAAAAACCTTTAACCATTTTAAAGGAGATATAGTTTTTTGGTAGTTTTATAATTCTGGTGCTGCACCAGAACTGTGTTGTGTTGCATGCCAATTATTTGGCATATGTGTTACAACTGCTTTTGTCGAAAGGCTTTTCTCAACAATGGGCTTTTTGCATTCTCCGTTAAGAAATAAACTAAAGGTAAATTTAATTTAAATTATAAATTTTAATATATTAAAATTTTTTTATTATAGGATACAAAAGTTGTTGCAATGAGTCAACTCTATGCTGAAATTTTACGAGCTTATAAAAAAAAGATCAAACCTAATTATAGTCAATCAGATTACTCTTCCTCTGCTTTATCTTCCTCTGCTGCTCTAGTTTCTGCTAGTTCTTCACTATCTAATCAAGATCTAGAATTTGAAGAGACTAATACAGATGATATAAATAAAGAAATTACTTCAGAAATTGATTGGAATGTCGCTATTAATGAGTGAGAAGAATTATTAATTGATAAAGAGTTTGAAGAAGAACAAGATGATCTTGATATTGCCGATATTGATTTTCTTGATTCAGAAATGCATCCTGCTGAAAATCAAGCTACAAAATAGAAATTACACGATTTGTTTTTACCTAATTTACCTTTTCCATTTGAATAATGTATATTTGAATTATATAGAAATATTAGTAATAGTAATATATAGTAAATTTGTTTAACAAGCATATACATATGAATGTATGTATGTCTATTTAGAATAATAAGCTTTTTGAATAGCAATAATGCAAAGAAAAACATGGTTATATAAGGAAGAAAAAAAATAAAGTAAATCTAAATAAGTTTTGGTTTTTAAATATATAAAATGAAGTAAAAAAAAAAACTTTGCACCTGAAGCTTTATTAAGCCTAAATTTTACAGGAAGTTCTGTATTCTTTATAATTTTACACAAGAAAAGTTTTTATTTGAGTGCTAATGCTGTAACGAGAAAAAAAAATCCTAGTTGGTCTCTACTTTCTTTTGCTTAATAAATCATATCTGATATGTATTATATAAATTTTGAGTTTAATAAATTATGTTTTAGTCTATCTAATATATGATTTGATTGGTTAATAACTATTTATATGTCTGGTCCAATGTTTATTGCTTTTGATTAGACAGTTCGGACACTATTTTTCGGACAGATTTCCATTGTCCGAATTCCATTCATGCCAACCCTGTCTACTTGTGCTTACAACAAAATTTTCGAAAAAAGTAAACAAAACAGCTTATGTCTGTCAAAAGATCAGCATTTTTACTCCTTTCAAATTCAGTCGACCTGATAGATTGCAACCATGTGTTTTGTTTAGTAACAAACACATCGCTACTCCACGTGACAAAGTCTATCGACTAGTCTATGATTAAAGATATACCCAGAATTGATCATATAGTCAGAAAGAAACTAATACATTAAGGCAAAGTCTTATAGCAGGGATATACAGATGTTGCATTTGTTATATAATTTTTAAAGCCTTGTACAAGTTACAATAATACTATTAGGTTTTTTTTTTTCTTTTGTTGTTTTTTCTTTTTCAAAATTTGTGTTTTATTTTTTTTTTTTAGTTTGTTCATTTTCTTTTTTAGTCATTTTCATTAAAATTTTTTTTTTTATTTTCCCTTTTTGTCTTGTGCCCCTTGAGATAAAAAAAAAATTAGAAGGAAAATTAGTTCTAATATTTTAGTTCTTTAAGAGCTAATATTGGTTACAAAAGGGTGAAAACCCTCTTTGAACAAAGTTTATAAAAGAAACTTTTTTTTAGCTTATCCGTAAGCTTTGCGATAAGTTGTGCTTGTGTACTGAAATAAGCAACTGAGTGAAGTTGGGCTTTAAATTAGTCTTAAAAGTAAATGTATATAAATTGTATATACTAACAACTAAAGAGGTCAAGCCATAGCAAGACTTATCAAAGAAATAAAAAAAAAACAAAAAAAAAAAAAAGGAAGAGGATTGTAGAATGAGTGCAAGCTGGGTGCTAGTAAATGAAAAGGTGAAAATAGCATTGGCAGAGAAAATATTTAGAATAGAAAGGTGACTATTCTTAACTAAAGCAGAGTTGGCTGCAGTGTTGATGGCAGTATTAACAGTAGCTAGTAATAGTAGTGTGGTAGTTAAATTAGATAGTGCAGTAGCAATTGCAAGCTTTAGGATTGAAAAGTAGTTTTAAAAGGATCTTAAGCTAAAGTTGTTTAATTCTTCTCTATGTTCTTTAAGTCAAATGACTGACTTATT